GTTCCGCCAACCAGTGCTGGTGGATCGGAGCGGGGAGGGGGGGAATCAGCCCCTCCCTTGTCATGGCAGAGAGCCGTGACAGGATCGAGAGGTGATCGAACGCCGATCTACTGAGCCGACCTGTGACAGTCTCATTGTCACAGGTTGGCTAGAACTATGAATTGAGTGAAAAGCCCTCGCCTCATAGTCCTCCTTTAAGGAAGGGGAATTAGCTCAAATGGTAGAGCGCTCGCTTAGCATGTGAGAGGTAGCGGGATCGATGCCCGCATTCTCCACTTGTTTTGCAAGTTATTTTAAGATGCTGCAACAAGTAAATTACTTTTTACAAACTGTTTGGTTTAAAATTCTGCTAAAAGCAAATACATACCCTTAGTGAATGTCTTCATGCTATACGGCCAGTATACACCGATCAGCCATAATGTAATGACCACCCACCTAATATTGAGTATGTCCCCTTTTATCTGACCCGTCGAGGTCCATGGACTCTATTAGACCTCTGAATGTACGCTGTGGTATCTGGCACCGAGCCGTCAGTAGCCGAGCCGTTAACTCCTATAAATTTGTGAGGTGATCGGCCTCCATGGATCAGACTTGTTGCAGTACAACAACCTGTAAGTTGTTACAGCTGTAAGGTGGTTAAAGAAAATTTTCATTCAACACTTGACCAGTAGGTGTCCCTGGCTGTGTTTCAAAAGAACTCAGAGTAAGGGGAATTAGCTCAAATGGTAGAGCGCTCGCTTAGCATGTGAGAGGTAGCGGGATCGATGCCCGCATTCTCCAAGTCTTTTTGAATGTAGAAACTTTTTGTTTAAGATCCTGCAATAGTTAGAACCTAAAGCCTTGTAAACCCTTAAAAAAATAACATTTGGTTCCTTTCGAGTTTTTGCTTTTTTGTTATGTCTGTTTTATAAGGGAAACAAACCCTCATTGATTCTGACAGAAGTCTTGTGGGCTGATATTGCCTTGTGCTCTCTGTGCAGCACTATTATTGATTACATTGTTCTCAGCTGTCTTAACTAGGGATGCGCCGTTACCATTTACTCAAGACGTACAAGTACGAGTTCCGACACTTTTCCTCAAGTACTCGCCGATACCAATTACTGATACCTTTCTAAAACAATACAGACTACAGGACAGTGGTGAAGCGCCAGGGTCCGGTCCCAACTGCAACTGTTGCGACCCTGGTAGTTCTGCCACTGACTCCAAGCTGTAGAAGGACTAATCCCAGCAATACATTATACAGCCATGCAGAATAATACCACTACAGAGGACTACAAATCCCAGCAACGCATTATACAGCAATGCAGAATACCACCAGCTATAGAGGACTACAAATCCCAGCAATACATTATACAGCAATGCAGAATACCATCAGCTATAGAGGACTACAAATCCCAGCAATACATTATACAGCAATGCAGAGTGGCAACCACCTATAGAGGACTACAAATCTAATTAATGCATGATTTTACAGCAATAGAGAATGGCAACCGGCTATAGAGGCAGCGGTGTATTTACCTTTGCTGCTGCCCTAGGCAAGGCAGCAACGCCGCCCCCCC